GTTACGCTTATCTCAGTCATTCTCATTAGATCTTTATCTTGTGCACTGTTTCTCAGTTGAAGAATCTAATCTTAAGGGAAATGTCACATTTACTTTATAGCTGAGTGACCTCTGCACTATTTTATGATGGAGACGAAGCCATAAACTATAGAAACCATCTTTATGGAAGATTTCATACATACTTTGCAAAAGAGTCTTGATATAGTCATACATCAAGCTTTGTTGAACTCATGGGATTGAGTTAATTATCATCAGAAAACTGTTTTCCAGATTGTGATGTGCTTAAATATGCCTGAAATAAAGTTTCTGGTGTCAGCTTCTAGAAGTTTGAACCAATATGGTCCACTGAGTTGTGTTGAACTGGACATCCTTCTTGCCTCACACAGATTGACACTCTGCTGACCATGTGTTTGCAGAAACCCCCCCCCCAAACTCTACTAGCCATGGTGTTTGCAGAGACCCCCCCCATAAACTCAGGTAGCCATAGTGATTGTACACCATGTCACACAGCCTTATGACCTGAATTTGATCACTGAGTTATGTAAAAATGGAAAGAAAGGACTTCTCAGATCTGCACGTGCAGTCTTCCAACACACACACACACACACACACACACACACACACACACACAGATCTTACTACATAACACTGGTTGACCTGAAATCCTAAAACTCACTATGTAGATAAGGCTAACATTTAACTCAGAGGGATCCACCTGCCTCTGTCTCCAGAGTCCTAGGATTAAAGGTATGTACCACCATGCCCAATTGTGAAAAGAATTCTTTTGTGTTGTTGTTGTTTTTCATTTTTTTGATACAGGGTTTCTGCAGACCAGGCTGGCCTTGAACTCACAAAGATTCACCTGCCTCTGCCTCCTGAGTGCTGGGATTAAAGGCATGTATCACCACCACCCGATGGGAAAAAATTCTTAACAGCCTTTTAGATATAGCTTAAGATCATCTACATATGTATACATACATACATACATAAATACATACATACATAATTGTACACATGATCACTGGAAAACACTTCCCAAGTGCAACTGTCTTTTCAGAAGCCCATGCCCATGCTCTTGGATATGTCTTAGTCTTTCCCAGAGGACCTCTGTGCTAACCCCTGCACTTAAATATATGTTTTTACAATATCTCTTTTCAACAAACTCCAGTGCTACTTTATGAAATTCTCTTCTGCAGGGAAGTTAAGGATCCAGCTTGGTCTGAACAGAAGCACCTAAAGACAAGATAGCACATGGGCTATATATAATCTTTTGTTCTTTTTGAAGTGAGAACATATTAAGTAACAGCTTCCTCAAAGTAAGACTCACTGTTCAGTTAGCTCACTCCTGCAGTAAGACTCACTGTTCAGTTAGCTCACTCCTGCATGCTCTCTCTCTCTCTCTCTCTCTCTCTCTCTCTCTCTCTCTCTCTCTCTCTCTCTCTCTCTCTCAACTCTGCCTGTTCAGGGAATCTCTGAACAAAGGAAAGACACCAAAAGCCCAGTTCTGCATCCTTAGCAGCTATCACAGCTTCCTCCCTGATGTCCAACTTGACCCTTCCCCAAGCCAAATCCAGACCACCATGTCCCTGGCCCTGCTACTGCTGCTGGGCCCCCATCTCCAACCCTAGCAGACTTCTATCACTGAGGCGTAGACTACACCGGCCAGAACGGGTGAGTGACCTGCCTACCAACAGCACGCCTCCCTGAATTCTGCCCCTGGTTACCTTTCCCCAGGCCTATGCTGTCCTAGCTAGTCCCTAGCCCTGCAACTGGGACCTCCCCCACAAACCCGTATTACCAAGCAGGCCTAGGCCACACAAGTCAAAATATGAGTGACCCGCCTACCAACGGAACTGTACTCTTCCCTGGATTCTGTCCCCCACAACGCTTCACCAGGCCAAGACTATCCAAGCTTGTGTCTGGCTTTGCTGCTGCTGGGCCTTGCTTCCAACCCCTATGGCTCTGCTCCCAACCCAGTCACCCAGATGCAGTTCACACTAGTTAAAACTACCCTCACTGGGGGACAAATGCCCTTTCCCCAGAACTCCAGCAGATTCCACAGGCCCAGACACAATCCACAGCAGTTGGAAGAACAGAGGTTATAGGTCCATGCACAGTCCACATCATTCAAAAGAACAGCCCCAGCAGCTCTACAGTAGGCCAGGCTGGTCCTGGGAACATCAGAAGAAGACACAAGCTTTACTGGAGGCCAAGCCGAACATTAAAAGTTGCAAACTAAAAAGACCAAGTAATAAATAAAAGCAGACCTATCAGAATTATACCTGAGACAATTGAGACTCTAAAAGCCAAAAGAGCCTGGACAGATCGACCTCCTGCAGACTCTAAGAAAGCATGGATGCTAACCCAGAGTACTATACCCAGCAAAACTTTCCATCACTATGAATGGAGAAAACAAACAACAAAGCCTCAGAAGAATGACTTGAGCGATTAGGGAAATCCACACTGTCTTAGAAGTGAAATATGTTCTGAGAGGGGTAATTCTTGGCCTTAGGGGGAAATATGAATTGCTAGTTGAGTGATCATTCCCCCGAAGGCAGCCTCATCATCTACTTAATTTTTGCTTACCCAGAAAGTAGGAAGTTAAGGCTCATTTCCCTCCCACGCAGCCCTAGCCCTACGTTGTGGTCTCCAACCACCAGAGCTCCCTCGACCTGCTTGGGATGACAGAGGCGCTGCCAGATCGCTGGGTGTCCATTGCCAAGCACGAGCTACTATAGGCTGGCTCTGCTGAGCTGGCAGGAGTCATCTTCATTGACCAGAAACACCTGGGAGATTCCATGAGTGTCGTGTCTGAGGTAGCCCAGACCCTGCTCACCCAGGATGTGAGAGTGTGGGTTTTTCCTGAAGGAACAAGAAACCAGTATCTCCATGCTGCTCTCCAAACATGGCACCATCTTGCAGCACAGGCCCAGGATCCCAACATTGTCATGTCCTCCTATCAAGACAGTTACTGCAAAAAGGAACGCCTCTTCACCTTGGGACAATGTCAGGTGCGGGTGATGCCCCCAGCGCCCACAGAAGGGTTGACACCAGATGATGTCCCAGCTCTGGCAGGCAGAGTCCGGCACTCCATGCTCACCATCTTCCGGGAGATTCCCCACGGATGGCCTGCGTGGTGGTGACTGAAAAAGCCTGGGGGGCGGGGGCAGGCGAGGCCCGGCTCTGAGCTTCTTCCTGCCCTTCCCATCTTTCTCCCCACACCTCTGACCCAGGCCCCGGTCCTGGGTCCCCACTCCCTACTCTCCTTTTGGAATCTTCAACTCCTAAAGTGAATGCAGACACAGCGTCACTCCATGCCCTTTCCCTGCTCCACCCATGGACTCTTCTGCGTGGGTACAGTCTGCACTCCGATCCCCACCTGCCATCAAGTCTCCTGGGACAGTCACCTCCCCTCACCTCAAGTGGCTCATCGGATACAAGGGTGGGGGACATTCCATCCCATCCCTCCCCCAGCGGTGTCTCTGTGGCCTTCTCTCCCTCTCCACCCGACTCTGGACAATGGACTCATCCGTTCTGTGGAACACTCCGCCCCTCACCCCAAGTCCACAGATTGAGTGGGCCCACCTGCTGGTTAGGACTCCTCATCCTACTGCTGGAAGCTGAGCCTGAACACTCCTCGCCTGCTCATCTGGGGAACGTCCTCAGCAATGTCACCTTCAGCAGGGCTGGGCTCTTCTAACTCAGAAGTCTCATACCTGCGCGGTCCCGGGGCTGAGCACAGTCCAGACGCCAATTTCTGCTTCCCCCATCCCTTTGGTAGAGGTCTTCAGGGTCCTGACCTAGCACCATCTAATCACATTCTGGAGGGGAGGACGGTGGAAGCTGCGCTCTCTGCTCCAAGAACCTGCCGCTGGTGAGAGGGAAAGGAGAGTGTTTATATTTCTCTTTTTTTGGGGTACCTCCCTCTCTGAGGTGGCATTGGCCAATCCCGCTGCCTCCTACTCTAAGACCCAGGAGGTAGACTGAGGGCAGAAGGAACAGGTGGGATCCAGTTTTGTGTGGTTGGTTTTTATTATCTGGGCTACGGCGAGCAACTGAGAATAAAAAAGAAAGAGGAAAAAAAGTATTTTGCTGAATATGTATGAATTTGTTTTCTTACTATTCGCTGAACAATAGGCCTGGACAACTGTGCAAATAGCATTTACGTTTTATTGTATATCATGTGTAATCTAATAGTCAACCACACTATACAGGAGGATTACTGTGATATCTATTTATTCGTTGGTGCTGAAGATCCAAACCAGTGCTCCGGGCATGGCAGGCGAAGATCCAAACCAGGGCTCCGGGCATGCCAGGCTGAAGATCCAAACCAGTCCTCCGGGCATGCCAGGCAAGTACTGCAGCTACTCTGTCAGCTCTATACAGCAGCCTCCAAAATCCACTACCTCTTTGCTGCAGTCTCTTTAACTCCTTCGCAGTCATTCTTCAATCTACACACAACACACACACACACTGCGATGTGTAACGTGTGATCACCAAGTTATTGCTAGCCATTACAATGGAATTTAAAAAAAAAGAACCTGTTTACCAATGATCAACTATTAAAGGAAATTGGGGCAATTTGGCCAAAGATACCAATTCAACTTAATTTATTGTTATTCAGTAAATTGTCTTTGTGTAACGACAAAAATATGTGTTTCTGGCACTATTCACTGAGGACACACTGGAAAAAGTTAAAAAGTTGGCTTTGGCATGAGATCTTCATTTTAACCGATACTACCACAAATGATGTGAATTAATACATTTTAAATACGTGAGAATAGTATAACCAACCAGTACTTCAATGCGTTTAATTTAAAACTCGCGTGACTTCGGAGATTTTAAAACATTTATAGTTTTTGGATTAAAGCATGAAGTGAAATAGGTTAGTCACGCCCTTTGAACAGGGCACTTTCTGCACTGCGCTGCTCCCACTTGACCACCAGGTGGCGGCGGCGCCGGCGGCGCGCTCTAGCCTCATTCCCGCGTTTCCGAGGAACTTGGCGGAGTCCTGGGAGCGCGCACGTCCCGGAGCCCGCGCCAGTGCAACCTGGTGACCGCGCACGCCGGATAGCCGCGGTTGGCGTGGCAGGACGCGGGGTTCTGAGGCGCAGGACCCATGTGGAAGCTGCTCCCGGCCGCTGCTGCGGCCCCAGGTAGGCGCGTTAGGGAGGCGGTGGGCAGCTCTTCCCGGGAGCAGCTGCGGAGAGGTGGGAGCGGGGAGCTGCGGAGCGCGCTTCCGGTCGGTCCTTCTCGCCTTCCGGTGGCGGCGAGGCTTCCGAGACGCAGAGAGCAAGGCTACGGGGTGTCTGGAGCCGAGCTGTCAGCACCCGTAAGCCAGGTGGTGAAGTGTGCGTACCCAGGTTAGGCCCGCTCCAGCTCGGCTGCCAACCGCGGGAAACCCAAGGGTGGGGACCGAAGCCCCAGCGTGAAGAATCACGTGACACCACAGGACTGCTTTCAACTTTTCATCACTTTTCCTCCATACTGTCAGAACAGTGGAAAAAAGTCCCCCACCCACTCATTTTTATGCAGCGAAAAGGTTATGACGTGCTAAGTGGTTGTCTCCATACATAGTCTTTGTTGGTTGATGGAAGGTTAAGCGCTTGCCCGTGATTGGATCTTGTTCTCAGGGAAGTTAGTGGAGGCATTTTTCCAACAGTATAAAGGGAAGTATGAGGTCAGATCCGTGCGGATTGGCCCACTGCACAGGTGGAGCACAAGTTGGTTTTGGTGAGCAAGTAGGACTCTGAATAATTAGCCTGAGCTTAGCTGGCTCTGGGTTTCTGTGAGATAATCAGAAATCTATACGGGATGGCACAGGTCTGTAATCCCACACTTGGGAGGCATAGGAAGGAGGATAGGGAACTCCCGCTGAGCTACAAGACCTGTCTCAAAACAGATAAACTACCTGCCAAATTCAAGTTTGAGTGATTAAGGATTGCTTGTCACCTTGAACCGGTAGAGCTTCACAGAGCTCCACACAACACCTTGGTCAAGCAATAATTTATAGACAGAAAATGGAAATGAATTAGAAGAACACCTTCATTGGATTTTAACTCAGCAGTCGCTCTACTTGGGCGGTATAAGGAGTCGTTTACAGTATAGGGATACCATCTGATAGGTCAGTAGTCTGTGTCTTACTGATACCTGGCTATCTGGGCTGTAGTTCGGTATCCACCTCGGCAAGGTTTATAAGAAGAAAACACCTGTGGGGCCAGAGAGTTGGCTCAGCAGTTAAGACCATTTGTCACCCTTGCGAAGAACCCAGGTTCAGTTCCTAGCATCCACTTGGTGGTTCGAAACCATCTATAACTCCAGTTCCTGGGGGTCTGATGCCCTCTTATGATTTATAAGGACACCAGGCACATATGTGATTGTAGAGGGTCTGAGGTCCTTGTGCACACAGATATGCACCAGGGGAACCAGGAAAGTTAAACATGGAGGGGATGTTTACCTGTCTTCACCTGGAATTCTGGGAAAGGATGTAGTGATGATCTTTTGCTATTTGTGGGACCGGGCTTTACCCAAACCCCCCAGAAAATTATATTTATCCCAGAATTTTCCCTCTAGGTTTTAAGCATTGTTTCCCAGTCCATAAAACCCATCCTTATGAGAGATGTCACATTCTTTACGACAGCCTATGAAACACCTGTGTTATCCTAGAGCAGGACGAATCCTGACCCCCATAGAGAGTCATTGTGTTGACCCTTAACTTGAACATTGTTTCTGTGTCAACAGAACCCATCTTTATAGAAGCCATATGTACTTTGTGAAGAGTGGTCAATGTAAATACCTCTTAAACTTTGTTGTACTAAGTTGTCATCAGGAAACTGTTTTCTATAATGGTGCGGTGCTTAAATATGGCTGAAATGAACTGCCTGGTGGCAGGCTACAGACCTTGAACCAGCACTGGCTAACTAAGTCGTCTACACTGAGTTTCATTCTCGGCTCTGTGGATTGTTCTGCTGCCAGCTGTAGAGCTTGCAGGGACCCCCATACATGATGTACATACTTCTAAACAGGCAAACACATGACATAAATCCAGCAAAAAAAATTGTTAAAGAAAAAAAAGAATTTGAAGTATTTATAATATATATTATATCAAGTTGCTTAGCATTTAAATGGCATAAAGTGTGATTTATTTGTGATACTTATAGAGTATGTCCTGTGCCATGAATACATGTATGTGTGTGTACCTTAAATTTATTTACTTTTGTTTTCCTTTAGGAGAACCATGCAGACTTTTGGCTGGCGTAGAGTACATTGTTGGAAGGAAAAACTGTGCCATTCTAATAGAAAATGATCAGTCAATCAGCCGAAACCATGCTGTGCTAACAGTAAACTTTCCTGTAACCGCCTTGGTATGCTGCTGACTTTATTTTCCTATCTCATGAGCAGATTAGACACTCTGTCTAAAATGAACAGTGGCAGAAGAACCGTGCATAACTAGCAGTGATTCTAGTATTTATTTGAATAGGATGCCTCTGTTGAATAGTCTACTTTTTTAAGGTGATTTTGAGATTCAGAGAAAGTGTTAGAAAACATTTTGTGGTGGTGTCTTACAACATTACCTCTCTTGGCTCTGGGTGTCCATCTGTGATCTCTTTGCTGCACTGAGTTGGATCTGTGGCCCATGCCATACATCATGGAACACATTCTAGGAGGCTGCTTCTCTCTTGATAGCCAAGAAGCAAATAGAGCAGAGAGTGGAATCAGAGAACTCTGTCCAGGGCATGCTTACCCACACCTGCCTCCCTCCTTCTTCGGCCCCCAAACTTGTGTGTACAGCAGTGAACTACCCGACCCACAGTCTTAAAGGACTTTATGCATCTGTGTGGACACTGGCATTTCAGGGTAGGGTTGATGTATTTCACTAGGGAAATAACTTGCTTGTGCTGTTTAGCTCCCTTGCATGCTCTGGGTGTGTTTTGTAACAACCATAGGTATGGAAGTGAGTGTGTTTAACTGTCAGTGCTTCTGTTAGTGCTTTTAGCATAAGAAAAGCCGTTGCTTTGCACAGGCTGTGTGTATGCAAATGCTGGATGCTCAGAGAAATTCCGGTTTCAGTCTGTTCTTTTCAGAATAGGGAAAATACTTATTATTGAAATTCCTCTAGAAAAAAGTAAAATACTTACATTCAGTCAGAACTCTAGCTTTTAATCCTGTATTCTCATTGAGTTAGTTTTTAATGGTATGATTTTGATAGTATAAAAAATGTATAGGAGAGAATACATCTGGTATGTTCAACACAAAATGGACTGTACCAAACAAACAAACAACAAAGCTTCAGAAGAATGACTTGAGCGATTAGGGAAATCCACACTGTCTTAGAAGTGAAATATGTTCTGAGAAGGGTAATTCTTTTTTTTTTTTTTTTGGTTTATTTATTTATTTATTTTTGGTTTTTCGAGACAGAGTTTCTCTGTGGCTTTGGAGGCTGTCCTGGAACTAGGTCTTGTAGACCAGGCTGGCCTCGAACTCACAGAGATCCGCCTGCCTCTGCCTCCCAAGTGTTGGGATTAAAGGTGTGCGCCACCAACGCCCAGCGAGAAGGGTAATTCTTGGTCTTAGGGGAAAATATGAATTGTTGGTTGAGTGATTATTCCCCGAAGGCAGCCTCATCTACTTAATTTTTGCTTACCCGGAAAGTTACTAATCTTGTGAAATCTGCCCTATAATTACTAAGTGGTAAAAATCATTTGTTGATTTTTTTTTCAGAGTCAAACAGATGAAATTCCTCCATTAACGATAAAAGATAATTCTAAATATGGAACCTTTGTTAATGAGGAAAAAATGCAGAATGGCCTTTCCTACACTTTGAAGACAGGAGATAGAGTTACCTTTGGGGTGTTTGAAAGTAAATTCAGGTAAGAAGTTTCAAAGTGATAAAATCCACAGCTAGAAGAGACTTTATGGATGACAATTGAAACTTCTGTAACTGAATGAGTTGGAGTGGGCCCTCAGAGTTGTAAGGGTAGCTTAAGTGTCTGAATCCTCATGGATTACATGTAACATTAATTTTTGGTGATTGTTTTTTCTTCATTAGGACTCAAGACTTAAGAAATGATAATTTCTTAGGAAAAACACATTGAAATTAAAATGACTGATACTTTAAAATCCTGTAGTTGCTGTCCCCTGGAATTACAGTCTAACTTTATGTCATTTATTTTCATTTACAGAGTGGAATATGAGCCTTTAGTTGTTTGTTCTTCTTGCTTAGACATCTCTGGGAAAACCGTTTTAAACCAAGCTATACTACAGCTTGGAGGACTTACTGCAAGCAACTGGACAGAAGAATGTACTCACCTGGTCATGGCGTCAGTCAAAGTCACCATTAAAGTAGGTTAGAAGTCTGTGTTGAGATCAGGTCTGACAGCTTAAGCTCACTTGCTCAGTGTACACAGACTCTGACAGCTGTTTACCTTTAAACTGTCATAATGGCTATGGATTCATGGGTGACTACTGGTTATCTGTATTGAGGCACAAATGGCTTTTCACTGTTTATTGTCTCAGAGAAGCAAAAATACACTGAATTATATTTCAGATTTTGATTTGGTATTTTAAAAAGGTTATCTGTTATCCTTTACCTCGAAATTCGTGTGATTGCATAGATGATGTTTGCATTCTAAAACAGAGACTGGAGTTAAAGTGCTTGCCCCTCTTCAAGGTGAGCATCTCACGTCACCCCCTCAAGTCCCCTTTTTCCTGTCCTCACACTATCTCGTGACTCACACTCGTTTTGACATGTAAGAGTTTATTCACAAAGACTGCAGAGTTCTTGTACTTCAGTATGACCTTGGTGAGTCTCACCAGCCTGTATTTACAATAGCGATTGAGGCTTCTTAAATGTGTTGATTAGTAGTTTATGCTCTAGACCTAAGCTGTGACCAAGTACTGATGTCTACTGCAGATTGTATCTCCTTTGAACATTTAGGACTTTGAAAGGAAAAACGGTGTAGAGCCACCTCTGTATTTATAACCTACAACTTACTTTGATTGAGCTATTGTATAAATAATATATATTTATAGTTACATGTGATTTTCTATTTTAGACTATATGTGCACTCATTTGTGGACGTCCAATTGTAAAGCCAGAATACTTTTCTGAATTTCTCAAAGCAGTTGAGTCTAAGAAACAGCCTCCAGAAATTGAAAGGTATTGTTGTCTTTGAGACAGGGTCTCCTGTGTCCCAGGCTGGCCTTAACCTTGTGTAGTCAAAAGATGACTTTGAACTTGTGATGTCTTGTCTCCGCCTCCTGATTGCTAGGATGACAGGTGAGTGCCACAGTACCCAGTTTATGTGACATCGGAAAGGGAACCCAGAGCCTCTTGCATGCTAGGCAAGCACTCGACCAGTTGAACTACATCCTCAACCATGAAGACAAAGTTTTAATTAATAATTTTATTACCAGTTTTAAACTACCCAATTCAGGCCATTTTTCCCAATTCAGTTTTTTTTTTTATAACCCTGGCTGACCTGGAATTCAGTATGTAAACCAGGCTAACCTTGAACTCACACAGATCTGCCTGCCTCTGCTTCCCGGGTGTTGGAATTAAAGTCATGTGCCATCATACCTGGCTCTAATGCACTTGTTTTAGGGACCGTTTATGCCCCTGTTGATCATTGGCATATGTGTTTAACAGTAGCCAAGAATTAGATTCTTCTGGGTGTGTGGTGGGTGGGTGGGTGGGTGGGTGGTTGGTTGGGGTTTTTAATATGTATAATTTTCATTTAGGAAATTTATTTTATAATACAGTTAACGGGTAACACTGTTTTGGATTCTGGTCAGTAGTGACTAGCTCTTAACCTTGAGTTCTACAGCCCGGTGAGGACAGCTTCAGAAGGCCTCCCTTACATGCTTGATTGGTCTCTCAACCAAATCCCAAATCAGAGTCTTTCTCCCATGTCTTTGCCTCTGGGGAGTTCATGAAGTCCTGTGAATAGCAACTCTGACTAGAAAGTGTGAGCCATTGTTGGTTCCAGAGTGCTTTAGTTAGAAGGCCTGGTCACGTCTACTATTGCTGAGTGTCCTGTTGTTTGGAGCTTTTAGAGTTAGCTGCTGATCCTCCTTCTGTGTGTATTTCTGACTATTAACACTCATGACCACAGAGAAGCGACTTTGCTCTAGGAGGACTTCTGAATAGCTCCTAACTTACTTTTAGCTTTACTGTTAATTTCAAAAACCTGTTGTTGTCAGTGTTTCATATTGGCGATTGACAATCAAGCGTTTCATCTCAAGAGCTGGCCATGGTGGTACAATCCTATAATCCTAGCACTCAGGAGGCCAATATAGCAGGTGAGTCCCACCTGTGCTCTATAGCAAGACACTGTCTCAGAAAAACACCTAACAATTAAAAAGTAGTTCATTTGCTCAGTGGTAGTTATACCTGTCTGCCTCTATTTATTTAAGACCAAGTTTTTTTTTTTTTGAGACAGGTTCTCTTTCAGAAGACCCTGGGTTTTGTTCCCAACACCTAGGTGGTGAATTCACAACTGTCTGTAACTACAGTTGAGGTCCACACATGGTGCACCAACGTGTGTGTGTGTGTGTGTGTGTGTGTGTGTGTGTAAACACTCATAACAAACTTTTTGAAAATTGATGACTAATAAAAATGAGTGTAAGAGACAGCAAAGAAACTGGAGTGACCCTGAAAAAGTAGACTAGCTCTGAATTTAAATCCGGCATGCTGTGGCACGCAGCAAGTGCTATTCTGTTTAGTACAGTTACATCTGCGTTTTGCAGGTCATCAGGAACAGGGGAAGGCAGTCACTGCATGTACCTGATGTGATTTGTGATTCCCAAAGTCCTGGAGTAGACAAAGTCACTTTTAAAAGACTTGGTGTTGTAGAGGACTGTTTTAAGTGTTTCATGTATGTTCACATAGGCAAGTCTACATTGTGTATGTCTGAATGTAAGGAAAGAGGGGGGAGTTCCCCTTGAGTTTGTACAGAGCTCTCATGCTGTAACATGCTTTCTTAATATTTTATTTTAAACAAGTCTCTCACAATTGGGAGACTCTCCATAGATCTCTGACATTCATACATGACTTGCTGGCTGTTCGAAGGCTATAAAGCTCTGCCAGCCCTTTACACCGCTGTTTCTGTGTGGTGGTTGCATTGTAAACTCTTGGGAGATGAAGTAGTGTCTCGTCTGAAATACAGAGCATGCTTGCTGACAGCTAGCTGTGCGTTCCCACGTGCAGTGCTCCTTTCCTGTAGGACAAATGATCGTATGTGCCTTCTATACATTTTCCAGGGGCCTTGCTTCAGAAGAGATCCACCACAAACATCCTTTCAACTTTAGTTTTGTGTAATGTGTGCCTTGTAATCATCTCCCTTAGCGTACTTATTTGAAGAAAATATAGAGGCATTTTCCTATAGTGTATGGAACTAGTATCGCATTTATTTTAAGAAAATACAGAGGTATTTTGCTATAATGTATGAAACCAGTATCATATTTTAGGAAAAGGCATCTAGATATTTGGTAATTTTGTTCAGCTAAAACTTAGCTGAGAAAATAAACAACAAAACAAACAAGCAAAATATCTCAAAATACTGGGCTTTGTTTGCTTCTTGGTTTTGTTTTGTTGTGAGATGATCTCACTATGCTGCTTGGCTGGTTGCTCACATTGTACCATGTTCTCTCAGTTACTCTAGTTGACTGTGTAAGCCAGATTGGCTCGGACTTTCATTGATTCTCAGCTTCTGCCTCCTGGGGAGGGAGGGAGGGAGGGACGGACGGACGGACGGACGGACGGACGGACGGACGGACGGACGGATGGATATAATCAATCATTGTGCCCGGTTCAAGTAATAATGATATTAAACTGTTTTGGCATCAACTTGATTCATAAGTTTAACAGTAAACACAGAGAAAAGTATATAATTAAAGTATAATTAGAATATATTTTAATTATTTTTGCAGTTTCTACCCACCCATTGATGAGCCAGCTATTGGAAGTAAAAGTGTTGATCTGTCAGGACGACAAGAGAGGAAACAAATCTTCAAGGGGAAAACATTTGTATTTTTAAATGCCAAACAGGTAATTGTAAAGCTTTAATTGTATCATTCACTTTTTGTGTATGTTGTTTTGTCTGCATGTGCATCACATGCAAGCTTTGTACCCTTGAGGTCAGACAAGGGAGTCAGGTGCCCTGGAATTAGAGTTAGACAGTTATGAGTTGCTGCCATCGGGGTACTGGCAACTGAACCCAGGTCCTCTGGAGGAGCATCCAGTGCTCTTAGTCCCTTAGGCGTCTGTCCAGCCTCCACATTAGTACTCTTACTGGCAGCTGTTAGGGCCTTTCTTTTGGGGTTTTGTGTAGATGTGTGAAATATGACAGAAAGCTGCTTATGCCCTAGAAGCTGCTCAGTGTTTGTGAATCTGGTATCTTCTAACAGTGCCTAACTGGCCTGGGTAGTTTATGTGAGTACCATAGTGCAAAGGACAGAAAACGAGTCCTAACTGGCATAGCTAACAGAACATTTGTGGAATGTCTTTTGTATTCCAAAGTGTGGATGTCCGGAGTTTATGCTATAGTGGACAAATCATGCAAGGGAAGCAGCCCTTGGAGAGCTGTGTGGGAGTGGATGAGAAAACCGTGTAAGGGATGTGTTGGCTCTAGACGGGCTGCTGAACTAGGGATTCTCAAAGTGAAAGCTCAGACTGCCCACCAGAAAGTAGGATGAATTCTGTTCTCATTCCCAAGTCCAGTTTGTACACAGTGAGGATGCGCTCCAAGGCCCAGTGCAGCTCTGTTAAATGCTTCTTCCGTTCCTAGCATAAGAAATTGAGTTCGGCCGTTGTTTTTGGAGGCGGGGAAGCCAGGCTGATAGCAGAAGAAAATGAAGAAGATGAGAGTTTCTTTTCAGCTCCTGGAACATGTGTTGTTGACATAGGAATAACAAATACACAAATAATAATTACTAACTCCCAGAAAACATGGATTCAGTTGATAATGGACACCCTTCAAAGGTACGTAATCATTCTTCACAGGTTAAAAATGGAAGTGGATTTTATCTGCAGACCAGTTAATGTGAATCTGCCTATACATTTGTCGAGCCATGTACTTCAGAATTGTGATTTTTGGGGACAAGCTGGTGTGATATCTATATAACTGTATCTAGGTATTTTCTGCCTCTTGCTCCTTTAATAAAATTTACAGATTTTTTTTTTTCATTTTGCTTTATTTTGAGAAAGGGTCTCACTATGTAGCTCTGGCTGTCCTGGGACTCACTATGTAGACCAAGCTGGTTTTGAACTCACAGAGATCTGCCTGCCTCTGCCTCCCAAGTCCTGGAATTAAAGGTGTGTGCCACCATGTCCAGCAATTTCTTAAACTTAATGAACTAGTAGTTTTTATACACAGTATATTAAAACTGGAGTTAAAACTTAAAAACTAAACTACTTTCTAAAAGTACCGAGAATTTAAAAGTTTTCCCTGCATAATCACTTGTACTTACACATTACACATGCTAACATGTGTAATTCCATATGTATGTGTATATGGGAAAATATACATAAACTTCTATGTGCTAATGTGGGGAGGTAGGGAAAATATCAGCTGTTTCTTTGTTTTTCTGTTTGGTTTGGTTTTGGTTTGTTTGCTTTTGGAAACAGAGCTCTTCTCAAGCTTGATGTGTAGCCAAGGATGACTTTGTATTCCTGATATTATTTCTACCTCCTGAGTGCTGGGAGTACAGCTTAAACCACTGTGCTGGTTTTATGCTAGGGATCAAACACAGGGTTTCATGTATAGGCAAGCGCTCTGCCAACTGAACTCCTCTCCATCCCTGATGTACAAGACTGTCCTCAGAGCCAAATTGCTGCCATCTTCAAGAGTCTGATCGGCCAATCTGAAAAGATTGTCATAGCTGACCTTTCTTTCTCTCTCTCTTTCTTTCTTTCTTTCTTCCTTTCTTTCTTTTTGTTCCTTTCTGGGGGAGTGGGGGTGGGTGAAGGGATCAGGGTATCACTATGCAGCCCTGGCTGTCCTGGAACTCACTATGTAAACCAGACTCTTAAGTGAGTATTAAAAGGTGTTTTGTGACTTCAAATTTAAGTTACAGATTCTATATAACATGTTTTTTTTAAATTATACTAAGTATCCTGTTTTAGAAAATCATCCATATTGTAGAATATAGCAAATAGACTCCCCATAAGACTCTTGAATGAAGTACGTTGAGCCAACCTATAATCCCAGAACTGAGATGGGATCACTTGAGTGGATGAGTTTGAGACTAGTCACTGCTGCAGAGCCAACCTCTGCTCTCAGTTCCTCACAAAGATGCCTGAATATGAGACTTACATGGACTTAATGTACTAACCTTATGTATGTGTGTGCATAAGCTTTCACATGGTGATTATAGTTCCCACCTCCTTCCTGTCTTTTCTCCTGGGGATCAGTGTAATTGTAGATTTGTGTATGAAGGTCTGTTTTGTTGTCCCTCCAGATAGAACTATTTGCTCATCCTGAAAATTATCATAGCAGTGTAGAACTGGAAAGACCTCCTCCTTTGCTCTAGCCTCTGATCTTATTGATGATGTTAACTGGGTTGCTGAAGGTGATGGGTTGTCCACAACACTGCCCTAGGGAGGAATTTAAAAATATTTCCACATTTCAAGTTCTGCCCATAAAATTTTAGTGTCTCTTTGGGAAGAAAAATAGATTTATCAAGCTTGATATTATATTAAGAAAGTTGTTAGTTTTAGTATATTACTGTATTTAAACTATTTTATTCTCATAGGCATGGTCTTAGACCTATTCCTGAAGCAGAAATTGGACTGGCTGTTATTTTTATGACTACGGAGAATTACTGTAATCCTCAGGGCCAGCCTTGTACAGGTAAGTAAGATATTTTATTGATTATTTACAAAGTTTATAAACATATTTTTATTTATTTATATATGTACTTTGCTGTTATACTTGTGAGGTGTGACCATACCTTCTTTTAAAATTCATCTACGTAATATTTGTTCATTTACTCATTTAATACACAGTTCTGTCATAGTACTGGGTGCTGCTCTAGTTTCTGAAGAGTCGTTAGTGAGTAAAATGAGCAGGATCCGGATTCGAACAGTGAACAAGCAGAGGACACACTGTAGTTCAGGACAGTGAACAAGCAGAGGACACACACAGTTCAGGACAGTGAACAAGCAGAGGACACACTGTAGTTCAGGACAGTGAACAAGCAGAGGACACACTGTAGTTCAGGACAGTGAACAAGCAGAGGACACACACAGTTCAGGACAGTGAACAAGCAGAGGACACACTGTAGTTCAGGACAGTGAACAAGCAGAGGACACACACACAGTTCAGGACAGTGAACAAGCAGAGGACACACTGTAGTTCAGAACAGTGAACAAGCAGAGGACACACTGTAGTTCAGAACAGTGAACAAGCAGAGGACACACTGTAGTTCAGGACAGTGAACAAGCAGAGTGCATACTGTAGTTCAGAACAGTGAACAAGCAGAGGACACACACAGTTCAGGACAGTGAACAAGCAGAGGACACACTGTAGTTCAGGACAGTGAACAAGCAGAGGACACACTGTAGTTCAGGACAGTGAACAAGCAGAGGACACACACAGTTCAGGACAGTGAACAAGCAGAGGACACACTGTAGTTCAGGACAGTGAACAAGCAGAGTGCATACTGTAGTTCAGAACAGTGAACAAGCAGAGGACACACACAGTTCAGGACAGTGAACAAGCAGAGTGCATACTGTAGTTCAGGACAGTGAACAAGCAGAGTGCATACTGTAGTTCAGAACAGTGAACAAGCAGAGGACACACTGTAGTTCAGAACAGTGAACAAGCAGAGGACACACTGTAGTTCAGGACAGTGAACAAGCAGAGTGCATACTGTAGTTCAGCACAGTGAACAAGCAGAGGACACACTGTAGTTCAGGACAGTGAACAAGCAGAGGACACACTGTAGTTCAGGACAGTGAACAAGCAGAGTGCATACTGTAGTTCAGGACAGTGAACAAGCAGAGTGCATACTGTAGTTCAGGACAGTGAACAAGCAGAGTGCATACTGTAGTTCAGGACAGTGAACAAGCAGAGTGCATACTGTAGTTCAGAACAGTGAACAAGCAGAGGACACACTGTAGTTCAGGACAGTGAACAAGCAGAGTGCATACTGTAGTTCAGCACAGTGAACAAGCAGAGGACACACACAGTTCCGCACAGCTGAGTCCAGAGCTGCTCAGGCCGTGTGACCATACCTGAAGTGTTGGCCTGTCCTGGTCTTCACAGAGGACTTCACTGAGAATGAGGCATTTGAGTCTCCTGCAACCTGAACTGCTTAGGCACCATAGTGATGTGGAAATCTGACATAGAATTCCAGCCAAAAGGATCAAATGGCTCTCACATTACAAATAGATTTTAGGGGTCCAGAATGGAAGTGCAAACTTAAGTAGAAAACTAGTGTGGAGCCATTCAGAGAGGGCTGCTGGATTCCTTTGTTACATTTGGATTATTGGTGTCCATAGGTTCTACCAAATTACCAATCCAGTCAAAATTATTTAGTCAAAGATAACTTAGAGTGGAGGCTGTGGAGTCATAAATTCAAGACCGAATTATACGAATTCCAAGCCTGTCTATACTAGATAGCAAGACCTCACTTTTTAAAAATTAAAAAAAGTTTTATTTTTATATGTATCAACTTCTTTTTCATGGCATTACTCTCCAACTAGTAGAACACCAGTTGACTTAGCATTTACAGTGTAAGTAATCAAGATTACTTACACATCGATACTGTGCCGCTCTTAACAGAACCGACTTGAGCAGTTTGTATTGTTAAGAGGAACAGTGTCTTGGAATACTGGACATCTAAGGATCACTGTACTTCTTTTAGGAAATAAGTTGATTCATTTATAACTATTATTTTCATCTTTAAAGAATTTTTCTTTTTGGGATAATAATTACATCATTTTTCTCTTCTCTTTCCTCCCTCTAAACCCTCCCACACACCCCTCCTTGCCCTCTTTCAAATGGCCTTTTTTTTCAGTAATTGTTGTTAGATGCATATATGTATATATACATATTTCTAAATATAACCTATTCAGTCCAGTAATGTTACTTGTATGTTTTCGGGGCTGACCTCTTGGTAGTGGATAACCAGTTGGTGTGCTCTACCCTAGGGAAGACTATCTCCCCCACTCTCAGTTAGACATAGAAACCAGGCACACACCTTTAATCCCAGGACTCAGGATTAAGAGGTAGGCAGACCTCTCACCACAGGAAATTGATCCAAAAGAAACAGCTCACACAAAGGTGATCTCAGCACCTGGGATCATACACCTTTAATCTCAGCACTAGGGAGGTGGAGACAGGAGGATATGGCTGGACAGGGAAGGAATATAAGGAGGAGGAGACAGGAACTCAGAGCCTTTTGCCTCTGAGGATTTGTGGGGACAGGATTGCCATTTCAGCTGGGTAGAGGTAACATCTCCTGGTTTGTCTGTTTGCTTCTCTGCTCTTCAGCTTGAAGCTTGAACCCAGTCTCCTGGGTCTTTTATTTATGGTGCTACAATCACCACATTCTTAGAGTGGCTATCCCATCCTATCTGTTAGAAATATGGGAACTGGAGCGATGGCTCAATGGTTAAGAACACTTCTTGCTCTTCCAGAGGGCCCAGGTTCAATTCCCAATACCCATATGGCAGCTCACAACTGAGTGTCATTCCAGTTCCAGGGGATCTGACACCCTCACATAGACACACATACAGATCAGACATCACTGCACAGTCTTTTGTTTCTGTTTAGAACACAGATTCTCAAGTATGTCTACACTGCAGAAACAATTTTTACTGTAAATTTGAATTCTTTAGCTCACAGTATTCTGGGAAGTGGCTGAGGCAGCTGGGTGTTTTGTTGGGTTGTAAGCTTGCATGTCTATACAGACCTCAAGAGCCACTGGATTTGAATGTCTGGGGAAGAACTGGACTAGAGAACTCAGTGTACTAGGAGACAGACACTCGAACTGCAAACTTCAGTCAACTTTATTCTCGCCTTCGTGTCTCGTAACTCAGATCGGAAACGCTCCCTCAGTCGCACTTCTGCTGTGGCTCTCCTCCTTCCTGTCTGAAGCCACAGCCCTTGCTATATCTGCACCCCCTGTTGAGGTCTGTGGGGGTGCCTGGCAATGGTTCTCCTAAGACCCCTCAGTATAGTTCATGCTTCACTGCCCTAATAGCTTTACCATTCTTTTTTTTTTTTTCTAAAAACTTTTATTTACCTTCCATTGTGAAAGGAGTCCTTTGTCTAAACGTAGTCTGGCTCCTCAATAATTTAGCTTCATCCCCTCTCCTTCAGGTCTTACCACTTCCTGGTGCCTCTACAGAAAACTTCGTGCCTTTTCTAGTTTTTAGCTCTTGTGTGTCAGACCTTGTAGATCACACTTAGTTCCTGTAAGGCAGTGCTGCCCATCAACTCCTACTCCTTTCACACTCGTTTACCTCTCATGAAGCTTTTCCAGAAGCTTTCTTCTCTTACAGCTTTCATACAAGTAATAAATAATCACTCCAATAGCTTCCCCCACCTCCAGTTACAGGCCTTATGGGGTTAGCCAACTGCTTGCATGCTCTTTTAACCCATAGCATGTTTATAAACTCAGACCAGTTTTGTACTCCCTGACAGCGGCAGGCGATTTGTTACAGTAGTTGTCTACTGTAGTAGTAGAAAGATTTGTCTAATAATTAGGTTACTAGTTCACGAGGTTCTCCTGGCCCTGTGGACCAGCAAGACTTTTTTTACCTTCTGTTTATGTGTGAAAAGGCCTTAGGGGTCATTGAATCTTTCGAATGGAAAGGTGAGAGTTAGAACTGGCCCTGAGGCCGGGCGGTGGTCGCACACGCCTTTAATCCCAGCACTTGGGAGGCAGAGCAGAGGCAGGCGAATCTCTGTGAGTTCGAGGCCGGGCTGGACCGATAGCCTCCGAAACAATACAGAGAAACCCTGTCTTGTAAAAACCAAAAAAAAAAAAAAAAAAAAAAGACCAGCATGGACTTTATGAGACTCTGTCTCCAGAGGGGGAGGGAGGAGTAGATGTTAAAGCTGAGAAAACTTGATATTTTATAACTGTCAGGGCCAAACTGATCCTGCATTTGCCTTTTGACCAGCAAATCAGGGCTTTCTACTGTAGTATGTGATTTCAAATAGAAACCAGGCCATGGAAGAGAATTAAAGTGTGCATGTTAAGTAGTCACGCTGCTGTGCGCATGCACATTCATTCTCAAGGTAGACTTGGTGTGGCTCTGCTGTAAATGGTGTCATGCCAATAGTGCCAGAGAGTCTCCTTCCTTCCCCTTCTCCCTTCCTTGTCATATTCATGAATTGTTTGGACTAGTTAATACTTGTCGGTGGTTGTTTACATACCTGAAACCATGTTAATCACTAGGAGTAAAGGATAAAGAAGTAAGTATGCAGATGGTCAGGATGACAGCTGGCAGTGACATAGTTGTACTGGCTTCCCTGTTTTCCGCTTGCTATCCATATATTGGGTTATTTTGCCCCCAAAATAGCTTGAGGTTTTTGTGATGATTTCCATGTTCTATGTAATGATTGTGACTTTTTCTTTGCTTTCCACTTATATGATATACAGAATTAAAAACCACAACTCCAGGACCAAGCCTTTCCCAAGGCTTGTCAGTCAATGGAAAAACAATGCCAAGTGCTCCTGTGAATATGACAGCATATGTAGCTGACACAGAATCAGAGCAAGCAGATACATGGTAAATATCTTTGTTGTCATGTTATTGTCATTATTTTACTAACTAATATCATATTCAAGAAAAAGTTGTTCCCTTTCAAATCATTGTTTCAGAGGTTAAAGCATGGGAATAGAGAATTCCAGAGAAAATCCTATCTCACAAGGATCAACAAATTTTAGTAGTTTTTTTTCCCTTTTCCCTTTCCTCCCTCTAACCTTCCCATACTCCCTCTTTCAAATTCATAGTCTCTTTTCCCTTTAATTGTTGTTGTGCGTGTGTGTGCGTGTGTGTGTGTTCCTAGATACATAAATAACAGCCTGCTCAGTCTGTATAATGTTACTTATGTGTAGTATGTATATACGTCTCTGTGTGTGTGTGTGTCTGTGTGTGTGTGTATTCCTAAATACATAAATAACAACCTGCTCGGTCTGTATACTGTTACTTAGATGTATGTTTTCAGAGCTGACCATTTGGTATTGGTTAGCCATTGGTGTGCTCTTCCCTGGGGAAGACTGTTTCTCCCACTCTGGACATTCATTCCTTCATTGTCTGTAGTTCTTTCCGCAAGGAAATCTTGTGGAACTGTGAACTGTTGGTCTGTGTTATAATTACATAACTTTGCTGTTGTAGAATTGAAGTCACTATAGACAGCCTACAGCTGAGTGAGTGAGATGGTGTGGCAGATTTGATTTAGTCTGCAGATGGTACTTTTACTGCCTCAGAGTAATTTTTATTATTCCTTCAAATGTATTTGAAAAAGAGAAAGTTTGTGACTGATTAAATAAATTTGAAACACAGTAGACCCTGTTTACATGTACTTTTAATTACCCATAGTAAACCTTTGTCTAAAAATATTGACCAGAAAATCACGGAAATTAGACATTCCTAAGTTTTAACTTAGGCTTCTGAATAGCGTGATGAAGTCTCTTAGTACAGTGGTTCTCAGCCCTCCCAGTGCTGCAACCCTTTGATACAGTTCTTCATGTGTGGTGACCCCAAACATAAAATTATTTTCGTGGCTGCTTCCATAACTGTAATTTTGCTACTGTTATGAACTGTAATGTAAATATGTTTTCTGATGGTCCTAGGTGACCCTGAGAAAGGGTCATCTGACCCCCAGGTCGAGACTGGCGCCATGTTATCTTACCTAGGTGTGCGTCGTTCCTTTGTCCAGCGGTCCTGTACTGTATATGCTGTGCACCGCTGTTACTACTACCTGTTGTGGTTATTGGATTGAGTGTATTAGTGTTTCAGTGCTGATGTTCACATAATTTTTACGTAGTTGTCTGATGCTATATCACAATGCCTAAACCATTCATGTCTTCATCTTAACCTCATAGTGATTATTTTATGTTGTATCATAACAGGGCTGACTATAGTGCAATAAGATACTTCGGGAAACACCATAGTCATGTAACTTTTATTATAGTATATTGAAATTCCATTTTTTAATCTATTGTTTTGCTTTTTTTTAAATTATTTTTTGTGCATTTACATTTTTGCCTAAATGTCTGCGCAAGGGTGTCAGATCCACTGGAACTGGAGTTACAGACAGTTATGAGCTGTCATGTGGGTGCTGGGAATTGAACCTGGATCCTCTGCAAGAGCAGCCAGTATTCTCTTAACTACTGAGCCATCTCTCCAGCCTCCATAATTATTCTGTTTTATTAGTTATTATTATTAAACACTAATTTATGCCTAATTTATAAAGTAAATCCATAATTATTCTGTTTTATTAGTTATTATTATTAAACACTAATTTATGCCTAATTTATAAAGTAATGGTATGAATATATAGAAAAATGTGCTCATAGAATTTGGCACTATCATTGGTTTCAGACCTCAGATCTCTGATAGTTTTGGAATGTATCCCTCATGAATATGGGGATATTATAATAAATATATTATTTTGTATAATTGTTAGAGAGCCCACCAGAGATCACCATTTAGATACAGCTTAAAGCCAATTGAAAGACTTTTATCCAGGCAGCTGGAAAGTGTTAAGTATTCTGACCTAAGTGTAGCCCTGAGCTTTTAGACCAAGGGGCTACATCCTGGTATCTCGCACAGCAGCTGCAGGAGAAGGTTTGCACAAGCAGGCAGTTTAACAACTAAGATAAGCTAGTTAAGACTTCTTGGCCTTGGGTCTTAGAATAGAGTCAAGTGATTTGCCATGGGATTCTTCATTAGGAAAATCAAATTCTGTTTAAACCCAAAATGGTCTTGGCATGAATATAAGATGGAGGAACTTGCACAGGAACTGGCGTGCCCTGTTACATATTTTGAGAGGTAAAAATTAGGTTAGCCTGGGTATCCAAATAGTTAATAATCATTCATTTTTGGCTGTGAGCCTAGTCTTTAACAGCTGAGCCATCTCTCCAGCCCATAAATATTCATTCATATGTGTAGCTTTTCAGTGATGTCTCTTATTGTCAAATTCTGTTTCTTTTTGTTTTGTTATTTATGAGAGTTACTGCTTTTGTATTCTTTGATAGTTTTCACTTACTCTTATTTTCAACGTTACAAAAAACATGTTCCTATTAAAATATTTAGTAACACTATGTTAGATTGTGCTTAACTTTCAGTATTATGTTGTGGGCAGAGCTTATAAACAGTTAATTTTTAGTAGTTGCTTGAAAGAGACAGCTTTATTTGATTTTCAGTCTGTTCAATCATATTTTACAAAACAATGTCTATCTAAATGTTTTCCTAGTAGTCTGGTGTTCTGTAGCAAAGACTACTATATGGTTAGATTAGGCTCGTATCTGTCTGTGCAGGGTGATACTGGAATAATAGGAGTTTTCTTGATTTTCTATATTTTATTATAATAATCTTACATGAAAATAATTTTAAAATGTTTAAATAAAATAAGAAGTATATAGACCACCTAGTTTAGTCTGCATCAGGATACTAGGTTAAGGTCATAAGTGCTTGACAGTTATTTCCAGGAGAATGTGCCTGAAGGTGTGTGCTGCCAGGAGGGAGACTGAGGCATCCCTCAGGCCTTAGATAGCGGGTGTGCTGCTTTCCTGGATCGTTAATTGAATTATTATCTAATCTTCTGAAGTTGTATTTGTCAGAAAACTTAGAGAACTTTGGTTTTAAATAAGAATTTCTGCTAATTGTTTGCCTTTCCTTCCTTTTCCTGTAGTATGTCTTTGAGTGAAAGACCAAAAGAAGTGAGGACTCCTGGAGAGGAACAAACTGTTAGAAAGCTTTCACAGGAAACTTGCAGCATGAAGGAGGCCCTCAAGTCCAGCTCCAAGGCTAATAATGTGGTATCAAATACCCTGGTTATGGGGAAGAACCCAGACTATCAGCTTTCCCCAGTGAGATTCCCTGCTGCTAATAGAAATAGAGATTGGACTTCGCAGCAGCAGCAGCAGAACTCCATCAAAAACTACTTCCTGCCGTGCACCAAAAAGAGGTATATTGTCAATAATTCTTCAGCTGTGCCTCTGAAGAAAACATTCTGGTAGATGGTCGTAGAGTAGTATTTTCTTTAGTTGTTCTGTTGAAATAGAAGCAGTATTTCTATGGAAAATCGAAAATCTGTATTTCTGTTTTTAAAGATTATATCCCCCCCTCTCTCTCTGTCTCTGTCTCTCTCTGTCTCTGTCTCTCTCTCTCTCTCTCTCTCTCTCGTGTGTGTGTGTGTGTGTGTGTGTGTGTGTGTGTGTGTGTGTGTGTGTGTGTGTGTGTGTGTGTGTGTGTGTGTGTTGGAACTCTTATGGAGGTCAGAAGACAACATGTGGGAGTCAGTTCTCTTTGTGCCATGTGAATCCCTTGGATCAGCTACAGACCATCAGGGTTGGTGGCTCTTATCAGCTGAGCCATTTTGCCAGCCTAATAATTTTATTTCTGAGCTCATTCAATCTCAGTTTTGTCCTAATCTCATTCACTAGGCCCATTAAACAGACTGCACTTTGTTTTTCCTTATCTCCTCCTACTTTAGCCTTTGTTTTGTGTGCTGCCTTCTTTAAGAAATATTAGCCAGCCGGGCATTGGTGGCACACGCCTTTAATCCCAGCACTCGGGAGGCAGAGGCAGGCGGATCTCTGTGAGTTCGAGGCCAGCCTGGTCTACAAAGTGAGTTCCAGGACAGCCTCCAAAGCTACAGAGAAACCCTGTCTCGAAAAAAACAAAACAAAACAAAACAAAACAAAACAAAACAAAAAGAAATATTAGCCAAACCTAACAGAATCATCTTTCTCATAATGTTTTTTATAACAACCATCTTGCAAGGTAAAAAGAGTAATTTACTCTGATGTAAGCCTTACTTGCTTCCTCTCTGCCTCTGCAGCTCTCTCTCTCTTAGAATGCATTTGCAACCAGCTCTGCACTTAGATCAAGCAGAGAACCTAGTGTGAGTCCTGGACTATTGTAAAATTGCATAACCAAAAGTATTTAGTGCTTCCTGAGTGAGTGATATGCTGTTGTATAGAGTACTGTTATGACACGGCACATAGTATTTACAGTATTCAGTTGATGGTATCCTCTAGATTTAGCCTGTTTGGCTTAATTTTTGATACCAGCTCTCATTAGCCCATCAGGTTACTGCCCCAGACATAATTTTAATTGCCCATGAATTTCCTAACACTGCTATGTAAGTGCTGCCTTCTGCTGATGGGTCCTGTGTATTTTTATATATTTCTCTTTTCCTTCACATTGGTTTATCAGCTGATTCTACATTAGCAGAGAAGACAGGGCTCTCCATATGTTTTAGCCATAGGTTCCATCAGTCCTGTCAACACAGGATAAAGATTATTCTAAAGGTTTGATTTCCAGTGATACTGTTGATAATCAGAAGTAGGTTGTGAGTGAGTAGTAAATACTGAGAAATTAACAAAATTCCTCTCTCTGGTTTGTTTTCTTTTGAAACCTAAGAGAAAGGGATGAAGAAATTCCTTCAATGTCATCGTCCAAATCATCAAGAATGGAACTGTCTTGTTCTCTTCTAGAACAAACGCAGCCTGCTGCACCCTCACTGTGGAAAAGCAAGGCGCATCCATCGCAGAGTGAGCCTGTGGACAAGGAAGCAGACGGCTCATTTGTGGTGGATAGAGACATAAAGCCCAATGGGAAGAGTCCTGCCAGTAAATCATTTTCTACAGAAAATCTTGGACCAAAAAAAAGAACAATTGATTTGGCCATAGAAGAGGAAGCACTGGAAGAGTTACTCAAGAGTGCAGAGCCGGAGCTGGCAGTTCACATGAAAGTTGAAAAGCAAGAGGCGGACGTCAGTGCCAGAAAAAAGCCACGGATGGATGTAGGAGAGAGTGGTCACCTTGGTGGTGACAGGGTACCAGAAAGCAACAGAATAACTGTAAGTAACAGTTTATTTTAAGAGACAAGATCTCAGGTACCCCAGGATGGTCTCAAAGTTGATGCATAGCTAAGGATGACCTTAAACTCCTGCTTTTATATCCTGAATGCTGGGACTACAGTCCAGATTTTGTTTTGTTTTGTTTTGAGACAGGGTTTCTCTAGCTTTCGAGCCTGCCCTGGAACTTGCTCTATAGAGCTGGCCTTGAAATCAGAGATCCACCTGTCTCTGCCTCCCCAGTGCTGGGATGAAAAGCGTGCACCACCGCCTGGCTACTGTCCAGATTTTATATAGCTTTGCTTCTTTTCCTTAAATTCTTTTCCAAACTGATCCACTGTACACCATGAACACAGACCTACAGAAAAGTGGTTCTCGTTTGAGTCACAGACATTTGCTCTTAGCCTTTACTTCATAGTCCTCAGTGCATACATTTGTTACACATTTGTTCAGAGTTCCTCTCACTCACGTCATTAGAATCCAGGTAGGAAAACACAAGAATTGTGCACCATATACCTGTGGACACCACTAAAATAGTGCTTTGCAAAGCAGCAAGAGCCTTTCATTGAATACTTACAGGTTTTGTGATAATGATATGGACAACATATTTTACTGTGGTATGTGGCTTTATAGCTTAATTCTTTTATGTTACTGTTTTATGGCAAACTGATAGAAACAAGCGTGCAGTGAAACCACTGACCCGACCGCTCCATAGTGGAGAAAGATTCATATTGTAGATATGAGCGAGAGAATAACCAAAGGCATTTGTGGGACTCCAAAGCAGCCATGGCTACATCTCTGGAGCTGAGAGGAGCCTAGCAGACAGGGATATCTTCTCTGAAACAGAGAAAAAAAAAAAATAAGCTGGGATAGCCTGGGAGTTTAGGGTGGAAGGGGAGATGTGAAAAGCCAGGATGCTAGTGTGGGGGCTTTGGTACACGTAACAGGTACAAGTTAGTAGGAACCAGAGGAGCCTGGAGGTTAGCATGGGGCTTTGATATGCAAGCAGATGCCCCATTCGCCCGACTGCAGTGGGATATGAAAAGTAAGTGGCTCCTCTGGCAGAAAGAAATCTGTTTCAAAGGCTCCTGAGGAGTGCTGCCTTGAGTACTATAGTCCAACCAGAGCTGCACCTAGGTTTTCATCTTGAGATACCACTGCTTTAGGCAGGGTAGAGGGTGGCACTGGTTCCCTTTGGACCTAACAATGACATTATAAACGGAAAAAAATACAGTGTAGGCATTAAGAGAGAGGGAACAACAGTTAGGATCTATTAAAGAGATGACTGTATTCTAGTACTAACTTGTTTTTAGTAAGAATCTTTCCAAAAAACATTTTGTTTTCATTGTATAGTGTTAAGGACATTTTATTTTCCTCAGAGGCACAGATAGGCAGATCTCTGTGAGTTTGAGGCCAGTGTGGTCTACAGAGTGAGTTCCTAGCCACCAGGGCTGCACAATAAGACCCTTACTCAAACAAACAAACCCCTTTTATTGTAAGGTAATTGCTGATTCTCTTTATATGAAAGAGATAGTATAGAGAGGATCATCTGCTCTTCAGTTGTTTTCCTAATTACTTGGCCAGCTTGATACAATATAGCATCACTAATACGAGTCCTGCAGTTAACCAACCAACCCTACTCAGTAGGAGGTTATTGTTCATTTGATTTTCTTAAACTGACTTGAGAATTTATCTTTGTAAATGTTTACAGTAAAGGAAGGTGGAGCAACAGTTTACAAACATTCTGCCATCCCAGCCAAAAATAGTGTCTTCTTTATAAATTGTTTTTGCCATGTAGATCAACTATTAATACAATTTTCGGCTATGATTTCGTAACTTTATGTTGTGTTCACATTTTGTTGGATATTCTCTAAGTATATAATTTATGTATTTTCAGGGGCACAAAATGGTTGTTTTTAAGGTTTTTATAAAGATTATTCATCACTCCTATGAACAGTGTTTTGTTTTTTTGTTGTTATTTTTAGCAAGAAGATGAAGCAGAAAAAAAAGTTGAACTCAAGAGAGAATTACTGTGGTCCACAAAAGATGAAACAGTTGTAAGGAAATTCTTATTTTATTCTTAAAAATATCTGACTTAAAAGGATTATCATCATACAGATTTCTGTCAGGTTACATTCTTACTAAGCATCTCCTTGTATAATTCTGTTCCATTCATGATTTTTGCCTCTTCTGGAAAGAGATTATGTTATATCCATGAGACAGTTAGGAGCATGGAGAACCTTAGGTTTAACTTTTTTCTGTGTACTTCATAGATACGCAGTCTCAAGCAAATCATTTTTTTTTAAGGATTTTAAAAATCATTCTTTAAGAGAGTCACTTGTTTATACAATGACTAAAGCTTTTCTAGCAGGGTTGTTGTTTATATTAAGTATGGTAATGGATATGTTATACCTGCAAATTCCAAAAGAATCAGAACAGTTTTACTTAAGATTCTGATTACATTCCATTGTTATCAGATGAGCCTTTTGGGGTGTTTTTTTCCTTTTAGTTCTTTCTGATGACACTTAACCTTACATATACATAATGTAGTACATTAATTTAGAAAATTAATAGTTGGGTATAGTCTTTGCCTTTAATCCTAGCACTAGTAAGGCAGAGGTGGGCTCTAAATTCTATGCAAGCCTGATCTATATAACAAGTTTCAGGTTAGCCAGAACTATATAGTAAGATCCTTTCTCAAGAGAAGTAAAAAGAACTAGGTTGTGTCTTGATGTGTAAGTATTATGTTGGATTAGATTAGAAGTACAAGGAATTGCAGATCCAGGCTGTGAACTTTAAGTTATTATAGTCATAACTATTAATAGGAGCTATTACAGTCAATACATTTTTGCCAGTGAGAAATAAGTTTATTTATGTAACATTAAAACCCATGTTTCAAGATTCAAGGAACTCTAGAAGCATACTCCTGCTTATTTCTGCTCATGGTAGTGTTTCCCTGTAAAAAGCTGGGGAGATTCCTGAAGGATTGGTGGTCAGTTAGCAAGAACATGGTGGATAAGGCAGAACTTCAGAGCTTGGTGTCTTCAGCTTTGGAAGGGTTGATTGTGTGGTGTGCAGTTTGATGCCATCATGGAGAACTGGGACCTTTCTGTCTAGCAGTGATAGCTGTAAGCATTGCAGCTTTGAGTGCATCTCATTGGTTTGCTGCGCACACTTCTCAATGCAGTGGTTTCACTAGGAATTAAAAAGCTGTACTGGGTCAGGCCAGCAGCAGACAACCAGTGACCATGGCCTTTTTTGGGTGCAAGTTTGTCTTTGGTGAATGATCTGCACAGGAGATTTTCAGTCCATCCAGTGAAATAGTCATCACTGATTGTTGTGTCAGTATACTTTGTGTTGCATATCACAGTCTGATTGAGAAATAGCTTGTTACGTGGAATAAGAGAGGATGATACTCAATCTGGCATGTTATTAGTATTGCTCAGCTTCGGAGACACCCACTTATGGAAAGCTTTGTCACCTTTCCAGTTTGCTTCCTATGCTGAGCAATAACTGAATGGTCCGTATTGACTTCTTCCACGGCTTTGCTTGTAATTATACGAGCTCCTTCTGTGATTGCTCTCAGCTGGCCATGCTCTCTGATGGCTGGCCCCACAGTCCTCACTTTCAAGGCTCTTGAAGCATCACTGCATTATATGTTCATTAGCAGTTCCTGGGCCATTTTGAACTCAAAAGACTTGGATTTGCTTTTTGTGTAGCATCATTTTTATAGGATAAAGTAAATATAAAATAAGTGGGAAGTAGTAAGTCATTAGAAAAAACATAAAGCAGGAAATGTGCATCACAATTCTATATTATGTAACCACATTTGCAAGAATGTATTGTAATATCAAACAGCAGATTTTAGCAATGCAAAACTGCACTGACTATCAGTGTAATTGTAAGTGACATAAGCAAAGAATCACATTGAACAGATTATTAATGACCTTGTACATTCATTTGGAATTGATTTCTAGATGTCATAAAAATATAAATGCAGTAGGTAAAAGCTTGTAGAATGGAATATACCATAATCCTGATGCACAGTGTTAATAAGGAGGAAACAGATAGTGATGAGATATCAGGAGAATATTTATAAGAAGGAACCTTGCTGTGAGGTACTACCCAAGCCATTAGGTAAAAAATACCGTAAGAATTGTAGCCTTCTTTTCTAGGTGGACATGCTATAGCTGTTTTCAGTGCTATTGTTCTCCTGAGTAATTTTCTGGTTTTGATCCCAAATGCAAAGTTCAGGTGCCAGGAGCAACTCTTTGTTTTCCTTTGGGTATTTGGACTTTTCCTGTAGATCTCTGAATGACAAGTTATTTCCCTTTTCTTCTCCTGTGTAACCATTTAATCCCCACTTAAGAACGGTGATGAACTTCCAGACAGCAGTGAGCTGCTTCCAAGAAAAGTGCTACTAACTGAATTTAGGTCATTGGTGGTCAGTAATTCCACTTCCAGAAGTCTGTGCATGCTAAATGATTGTGGTCAACTGAAGAATTTCAAGAAATTTAAAAAGGTAAGTGTCTTCATAGACTGTCTCCAAAGGGCAGTGTTGAGATTGTTGTCAGGAACACAACACTAGCACTGAATACAAATAAAAGGAGTATTTAATGTTTGGGTTTCTTTTTACATTTTAATTTAATTTATTGTTATTGTGTGTGTATTATGTGGCAATTAGAGAACAGCTTGCAGGAGTCAGTTCTTTCCTTCCACGGTGTAGGTTCTGGGGTGTGAACTCTCATGGTCAGACTTGATGGCAAGTGCCTTTGCGCACCAAAGCATCTCACCAGCCCCTAAAAGCAGTATTGTGAAAACCTATGCTGTTTCTCCTGTTTCACACAGTTAAAAAACAAACAAACAAACAAAACACACACACACACACACACACACACACACACACACACACACTACCAGTCCTCCTGTCTCCACCTCCTGAGTACTGGGATTCTAGGTGTTCACCACCATGTCCAGTGCTGGGATCAAACTCGGTTTCACCTGTGCTAGGCAGACACTGCCAGCTGAGGTGTGGTTCCAGCACTGTTGTTTGTTTTGTTTTAAAACATTTACCTGGTTTTTATTTACTTATTTATTTTGTGTGTAAAGATATTCATATGCCACAGAGCATGTGTCTGGAGGTCAGAGGACAAAATGTTGGAGCTGTGTGTCTCCTCTAACACTATATGAGTCAATGGAAATTGAACTCATGTTTCCAGACTTGGTGGCAAGCACCCTTACCCCCAGGGCCAGTCCTATTTTTGTCTTTTGAGATGAGTCTTAAGTGAAGTATCAACCAGCCTGGAATTCACCATGTATCCAGGCTTGTTCTTAATTCATTATCTTCCTGTCTTGGCCTCTCAAGTGCTGGAATTGTAGGTTAAACTTTGAAAAATCTTAGAATAAAATACAGTATAGTTTGTTTTCCATGAGTTACTTTGATTGCTAGAGAAGTTACAAATTAAAACTAAGTTTTTCTCACTGTGTAAGCCCTAGTTGTATATCTAAATCTAGATTTAGTAATAGCTGGAAAAGAAAGGGTGAAAACAGATGGGTCTGCCACAGTTTTCTATGTCTCATTTCTGCAAATAGAATATGCGCACCTTTGACATTTATGCATGACTTAACACTGTTTGCATTTTAGGTCTTTTATTAATATGCCTCACCTTAGTTCTTACTGTTTCCCAGGTCATGTTTCCTGGAGCAGGAAAGCTCCCACACATCATTGGAGGATCCGATCTCATAGCTCATCAAGCTCGAAAGAATACAGAATTAGAAGCATGGTTGAAACATGAAATGGAGGTTAGCAGGAGGCCAGGCCTCGCCCTTGAATTAATTGCACTTTAGTCCGTGTGGCTCTTCTTGAGTGAAGTGATTTTCTCTTTTCAGTGTGGGTGGTTTGTATGCATGTGTAAGCATGTGTGTGTGTGTGCATTTATTGTTATATTTACTTACTTTTGAGATAGGGTTTCACCCTGAACCTGGAGTGCTGGCTGTGAGCTCTCAATCTTCCTGTGTCTGTCCCCTGCTGCAGAGGTTACTTGTGTGTGCCCCGCTTGTATGCAGTCCTAGGGCTCTGAACTCAGGCTGTCACACTTGCACAGCATGTCCTTTATCCACAGAACCATCTCCCTAGCCCCAACGAAATTCTTATAAGCCGACTGTCAGGGCACCTGGAAGCGCTTCCATATGGACCCAGGTGGGAGCCAGGCCCTTCAGTCTGGGAGCCGTCTCCCAGCCGTTCTGATCCTTCTCACTGTTCTCCTGAACACTCTTATTTTCCTGTTTCCCCTGTAGTTTCTTCTGGAACTAATGATGATAGCCGATGCTATAGGGGTTACAATATATTTATTTACCAGAGAGAGAGTCACACAAGCTGGAAGTCAGAAGCATGACGGCTTACAAAAGAGGAGGTCGTTTTTCCTTTCGCCTCCTTTTATCTCTACCTGTGCAAATTTACTTGTCCCTGCCTACATGAGCAGATAGATAGCTTTGTGGGGTTCACTCCTACATGGAACTTCTAGTAAAATTTTATCAAGTTTCACTTTGCTTGACTATAATTTTGGTAATTTCTTTGGATTGTCATAAAGTTTACTGTTTCTGTTTTCAACACTAATTGTTTACATCCAGCCATGGAGTTTTAATTTGGACTTGGATCCTTTCATTGCTGAAGTCCTCCAGTGCAGTATCCTACTGTTTCTATTTTCCTCCCTCTTTGTAGTTCTTCTCAAGCTCCTTCCTCAACTCTACATCTGGACATGGACCTGTCCCCTAGACATTCACTTAGCACAGCTGTTAAAATCAAGGATTCCCAGCCAGGTGGTGGTGGCACATGGCTTTAATCCCAGCACTTGGAGCAGGAAGCAGAGCCAGACAGATCTCTGTGAGTTTGAGGCCAGCCTGGCCTACAGAGCAAGTTCCAGGACAGCCTAGAGCTGTTACAAAGAGAAACCCTTTCTTGAAAACAACAACGAAAAATTAGTACCCTTTGTTTTGTCCCGAAGCTTTGAGATTTTTTAGAAAAATGATACAAGCAGCTTTTTAACAATTATTTTATGCATGTTTTGTGTCTTCCTATTTATGTTCCACAACTGTAGTAGAAAATGTCAAAAGAAAAGATGTGCACACGCATGCAGTTCCATACTGTTGCATATGTGCAGAGGCCAGAGGACAGTTTCTGGAGTGTTGTTTTCTCCCTTAATCATATGGATCCTAGGTATTGAACTCAGGTCATCAAGCTAGTTGGCATACACCCTCACTCACTGGGCCATCATGTTGTTCCTAAATCCCTAGTTTTAATGAAGCCCTTGTACCATCATCATTCTTCCCCCAAGATCACTGAACTTCCTGCCAGAAAGAATGTTTACAAACTCAGTAAGCTAGCAATGTTGCATTGGTTGTCTTTGAAATTGACTAGACAGTTGTTTCATTACAGCACTTTTGCAGTCATCTTAACATGAAGTTAAAATACCGGGGTCACCTGAATGGGAGAGAGTATAGAGGAAAAAACCCTCCAAATGACATGGTGGATATGGAAATCTGGAGGATGACTGTATAATCAGTAGAACAGGTACTTCACTGAGCAAATGATTCACTTCTGTTCACTCTGACAGGTACAGAGACAACAAGCGAAAGAAGAGAGTCTCGCTGATGATTTATTTAGGTAAGATTTGACTTTGCTCTCAGTCCTGTTGAGAAATGTCCATATAATTCAGTTATAGTCATGACAATCAAATAGTTGTTTCTTCTGTTCTTAGAAGACACACCTAATCTCTTCACAGAAAGAAATTGGGTTTTTAACTCATGTATTTTTATTACTTGAGCACATATTGGTTGAATTTCGTGGCTAAAGTTTTAAGGTTGATTTAGTTTTATTATGTTTAAATTGTGCATGGTGTCATCTAGCCAAGGGAGGTTTCTGAAGTATTTAAATTATCAATATGTGAGGTTTTTGTTATAATAGAATTAAATGAACAGATTTTGAAACAGAAAAATAAGGATCCAAACTATTTGTTGAGTTTTAATATAACAAGTGGCTGAAAAAGGTTGGATGGGATCAAAAACTGGTTTGTCTGGGTTTTTTGTTGTTGTTGTTTGCTTTGTGGCAGATTTTAGAGGACTTGGAATGAGTGAGCATAATTTAATATATTTTGGACATTTCTGAAAACCCAATAAACATTGTAAATCTTTGCAGGTAGACACCAGCAAAGACAGAGTAACATTTCGCCAACTTAGAGTACAGGGTGTCTTAATCTTTTTTGTTTGTTTGTTTTTGTTTTTTAGTATATTTACTCCTTGTGTCTATGCTATTGTTTTAATATTAGTGCTTCATATGATTTTTGTTAATGATTATGCTTTTACCATGTATTCATTTTAACAACACCAAGGGATAAACAGAAACAAAACTGTTTATCATACAACTTTAAGGACAACATTTATAGTCTTGTGTGCTTGCTAAAGAGAAGCTCTTTAATAGGATCCCTTAGTGAAATGTCCTTTAACCCAATTTTTTTTCTTTGCAGATATAATCCTAATGTAAGAAGAAGATAATTGAACACATTTCCTAGCAAACATTTATTTCAGACCATCTGGGATACATGAATGTAGTACATAGAAATTATAAATGCGTTAAGGCTTCAACCTATTAAATAAAGGGAATAAACTCCATTCCATTTTGTGTGGTAGTATTGTCCCTGGGGGCTTTGTTATCTTGTCTTTCATGATAGATTTTATTTTAAATGAGTTTCTTACTTACGAAGTAATTACAACAGTCTTAGTGCCCAAGATTCTGAAACTACATTAAGGGTAAAGACCGGATTCCCATTCTACTAGCTGCTTGGTTTCCTGGGTGGGGATATATCTATACACATCTATATATGGTACTTACTTCCTTTGAATCATTCTTATTTAAATTCATGTGCATAACATTTTCCAGGAATTATGTGTGTAATTACTCTACCATGTTCATTTTCATACCAATGTAACTTCTTCTTTTCCACTATTCTATAAACTTCCCTAAACTAATGTGACCAAAATGAAATGACTTCAGTGATGAGAACATCTCTTGGATAGCTACAAGAGATTAAGGTAGTATGCAGGCTTCATTCTGTGGCTACTTCACACCAAAGAGAGATGAACCTGTTTTTCATGGTTTTACTGAGCACAGTGACTCTGTCTTGCCTTCTTAAGATTCAAGTATGCCTGTCTGTAAAATTGAGGCAGTGAGGTTGTCTTATATCTAAAACAGAAAATGATAACAGGAAATGAACTTTTTTCCCAAATATTTTAATATAGAGAAGTAGATCTTAACCCTGATCGCATATTGTACATTATATTCTAGAAAGTATAATAAGTCTTATAAACTGAAAGTTTTCTGGTCTTGGAAATTTTGCCTTCCTAGCAATATTACTTTTTTTAGTTAGAATATAACACAGGAGTAGTTAAGTTGTGTGTGTGTGTGTGTGTGTGTGTGTGTGTGTGTGTGTGTGTGTCTAAGTCTTGGGTTTCTGTTGCTCTGAAGAGACCATGACCACAGCAATTCTTATAAAGGAAAACATTTAATTGGGTGGCTCACTTACATTTTCAGAGGTTCAGTCCATTATCATCATGGTGGCACATGGCAGCATGCAGTAAGACATGGTGCTAGAGAAGTAGCTGAGTGTCTTACATCTTGCAGACAACAGGAAGTGTACTGAAACACTGGGTGGTACTTGAACATATATGAGAACTCAAAGCCTTCCTCCCCAGTGACACACTTCCTCCAACAAGACCACACCTACTCCAACAGACCACACCTCCTAATAGTGCCATACCTTTCAGGAGCCATTTTCTTCCAAACCACACACACACACACACACAGACACACACACACTTACTAGGTCTTTCTAGAATATTGTGTTCGTGTCCCCTTTACATTTAAGCTACTTTCTACCTTTGACCAGACTTCAGAACATACTTCACTTTATATAGACAAGTTATAAATATCATGGGCTTTTATTTTATCACATTCTTTGTTTATGAAATAGTAAGCATATGTCTAAGTCATTGCTCTTTCTCAACACAATGAAGCAACACACACTAAAGGTCACTAGTCTCCAGATTCAGGGATTCTGTTCCTTTTAAGGGCTTGGGAGATGGCCCAGTGATGGAGAACACTTGCTGTGGTAGAGAGAACCCAAGGCTTCATGCATGCTAGGAAAGCACTCTTACCAACTGAGTTGATGTAGCTATCCAAACTTTAAATTTTGATAAAGTCACATTTGCCTGTTTTCTTTGATATTTTTTCTATGGCACACATTACGTTTTAATATTTCCATGAGTAATAATGTAAATCTCTCAATGAGTATGATATAAAGTATGCATCAGGGGTAGTTTTCTCCCATATGAATATCAGTGTATTGGAAGAAGTGTTTTTTCCGCATTGAATCATCTCAGCAACTGTATAAAACATCAGTTAGGATTATGTTTTTCCATCCTTCCTTTCATCAGACTACTCTTTCTTGAATAACTGTAACCAAATGTAAACCTTGAACCTGGTACTCCTATTTAAGTGCATGCGCACATGTTCACGGGTATGTGGAGGCTCCAACTTGATGTTGAAAGGCCTATTCCACCTTATCCACTCACAGATATGGCTAGCCGGCTTGTTTTAGGGACTCCCATCTCTGCCTTCTGGGAACCTGAACTCCAGTCTTCAATTTGTGAGGCAAGGGCTTTGATCTTTGAGCCATCTCCCCAGTCCCTGAAACCCAACACTTCAGTCCTGGCAAGCCAGGAATCTGTTAGAATTTTAACTGGAATTGTACTAGAAGTCAGTTGTAAGAACTGGTATCTTTAGGCCAGGCAGTGGTGGCACACGCCTTTAATTCCAGCACAAGGAAGGCAGAGGCAGGCAGATATCTTTGAGTTCAAGGCTAGCCTGGTCTACAAAGTGAGTTCCAGGACAGCCAAAGCTGTTACACAGAGAAACCCTGTATCAAAAGCAAACGAAAAAATGGTATCTTTTTTCTTTTTCTTTTTCGAGACAGGGTTTTTCTCTATAGCTGTGGCTGTCCTGGAACTCCTTTTACAGATCAGACTGGCTTCAAAAATTTGCCTGTCACAGCCTCCCAAGTGCTGGGATTAAAGGTGTGTGCCACCACACCCAGCTAAGAACTGTTGTCTTTAAAATATCCAATCTGCGTATCCACTCAATTAGAGCCCCCATTTCTTTCAGTACTTCTGTACTTCCATTGTGAGATTTGCATGTTTTAAATTGAACCCACTGTGCTTAGTAGTGGACACTAAATGACCCTTCACAGAGTTCATCTTGAGAGTTTGCCCTGGGAAGGTGCAAAGGATCTAAAAGCCTGCGCCAGGAAAGATGGACTCACACACACCGCCTGGGGTAGTTTGCCCTGGGTGGGTGGAAAGAAGCTAAGGGCCCACCCAGGGCCAAATCGGTCACTGTTATGGTGACCAAATGTACGGAGGGTATGGGAAGAAGAGAGACAAAGAAGTTCAAGTCCTGTGCAGAGAGGCAGGTCTGTAGAGGCGAAAGCGGTGAGGAATGGGCTGCTGTTTCCCACCTGGAGCATGGTGACATCCCTGGGCTACTGCTGAGGCCCCTGCCTGGGTTTGTGGTCCTGCCACAGCCCCAGTCTATTTGATATTCAAGGCACCTGTAGCCATGAAGGATCGGGTGGATGTCTGGGGTCTGAGTCCCGACCTGGGGCCATGTTGGTCTCCCAGGGCTACCCTGCTGCTTGGTGATGTCAACCTGAGTGGCCTGCACTGTCACCTGTGGCCATGGTAGCATGCAGACCATGGCTACTACTGGGGACCTTGTCTGAGTCCATGGTCCTGCTGCAGCAGGGATCTGCGTTGACATGCATGACCCGTGTCACCACCACCAAAGGCCACACAGATGTCTGGACTTTGGCTGTGACTGTGCTGGTGACCGAGGGACTTGCTGCAACCAGGGAAAGTGAACTGCCCTGACACTCATGGCCAGGGTATCTACCAGGCCTCAACTGTTGGTGGGGGTCGTGTCTGGGTCCGTGGGCTTGCCACAGCCAATATGTCAATGTCAGTGGCTCCTGTGACCACCAAAGGCTGTGCAGATTCCCCAGATACGGGCGGACTCCAGAGGCATGTTGGCGCCAAGGGTCATACTGCCACAAGTGTCATACAGATTGGGTGGACTGCACTGCCCCCCTGGGGCCCTGGTAGTAGCATCTAGGCCCAGGCTGTAGCTGGGGGCAATATCTGGGTCCGTGGTCCTACTCTAGTCATGGTCTGTGCTAATATCCATGGCTCCTGGTACCATTGAGGCTGTGTGGACACATGAAATCTGGGTCACCACCTGGGGCCATGCTGACCACCTTACAGCCAGGGTGATGCCAATCTGAAAGACCTGTGCAGCGACCCACGCCACTGTGACATCCAGCCCCAGGGGGATGCTGAGGACTGTTTGGGTCTGTAGTCCTACTGCAGCCACGGTCGTTGTTGATGACCGTGGTCAGCGTTCCCACCAAAGGCCTCACAGATGCCCAGCTTCTGGGTCCCCTCCTGTGACCATGTTGGGATGTGAGAGATATGCTGCCACCAGGGGCCATGTCTGTGTTCCTGGCCTTACCACAGCCAGGGTCTGTGTTGAGGTCTGTGACTCCTGTTGCCATCAGAGGCTGTACAACTGCCCCAGGTTCTCTACTGCCACCTGAGACCATGTTGGAGTACAGGCACCACATTACTGCTACACCCATGTGTAGGTAGAGATCTCCCCAGCAGCACTGACCACGCCCATCTTGGTCACAGGTACGTGGGGGAGAGGCAGAGATGAAGGTCATGGAAGGAAGTATCACACTCTCTTTTGGGGCAGAGCGCTGACCTCCGTTCTCGGCCTCTCATGTAAATGACCTCTCTCTCTCTCTCTCTCTCTCTCTCTCTCTCTCTCTCTCTCTCTCTCTCTCTCTCTCTCTCTCTCTCTCTCTCTCTCTCTCTCTCTCTCTCTCTCTAATAAAGTATCATATGACTCCCCTAACCCGGTTACTCAGTGTTGCTTGTTACCCATCTTCACCCATGCCAATCTGGGAGGCCTATGCTGCCACCCGGGACCATACTTACATCCTGGCCCAGGCTGCTGCCGCTGGCCATGCCTGGGTCCATGGTCATGCCGCAGCTAGGGTTTGTATTGCTGTCCATTGTCCGTATTACCCCAGGGGCCCATGAACCACAGTTGGAAGTACCTTGCTGAGCTGGCCCCTCCCCTCACTGTCCCAGGGAGTGCTACCCATACCCCCACACACACCTCCACTCCTCACAGGAGAGCTGACCCCTTATTTGATGAAACTGACAGCGGAGGGCTGGCCTGTCCCTAATGGGACAGTAGCCCCCACACTTGGGAGGAATGACCGGGCCCCTCACTGCAGGTGTGTGTGCGAGGGCAGACCCCACGTCTTGCCTGAGTGGAGTGGTCCAGCAGTCCAGTCAGACCAACTCGATAGCCAGCCAGGCACACAGCCAGGGCCTTAACATCTACCCAATCTATGGCCTGCAGGAGTGCATGAAGGGACTGGTCCTGCAGTACCATGGCTGCATAGTTCACATGGCTAAGGGCAACAGAGGGATGTCCAGGGAGGTTCCCTGGGCGTCCAGTATTGATGATGTGCTGGAGGCCCGAGTCCTTG